TTTACTTTCTATTTATTTCGTAGTTCCCTAATTATTTAACGCCAGTGCGCCGTATGGCAGGGTAAGAAAGATAAACATCTATTTACGAGTAGTCCATACCTATTAGGTAAATAAGAAAAAACCTAGGAGCTCGCTTGAAAGTCAGTGTCTGTAGTGTGTGTGGTATGCAAAGGTGTGACGTACGTCAGACGATAATTAATTATTGCAATACGATTCATAAATTTACTATAATCATATTAATATTATCTTACTAAAATTATAAACGTGAAAATTTGGGTGTCTGTGTCTATGTTTGTTACTCAATCATTTCAAACGGCTGAAGGGATCACTGTGAAATTTGGAATTTACGGATACATATATATTTTAATATAGAGGTATATAGTTAACCGACGGAGTGACGGGCATGCAGGCAAAGCCGTTGGCAGAAGCTAGTCCCTTTATATGTTTAACTATGTAAATCAGAACATTTTATATAGGCACTTAGTAATTCAAATAAAAAAATCAAGTTTACGTAAACAAAGTTGTCGGCATCGGCATAATTTAAAGTTTTCAGAGAGCTTTAAAGGGATAGAAAGATCTCGGAACTTCCAGAGGTCAGTACCGACTAAGTACATTTTTAGGCAAGTTCAAATGTCGAACCATATTTTGATATATCCAATATTCGGCCCGCTAGTTTCAAATTGAGTACCTACTTTCCAGGGTATCAAAATTAAAAATCGAATTAGTCCGTCAGTTAGATAATGACAAAATATTAGACACGTATTTTTTTAATTTCTCGTAATAAGTTGCAATACTTAGATAAAATGGCGCTAAGTTTAGGAGTGGGAGGTTGTTACGTCATAACATGCTACAAGATGTGACACGCTGTGACGTCACACGATATTTCAAATTAATGTATCGTCGAAAGTATTTAATTTTGTGAGGAAAGAAAAAATACATGTCTAAAGTTTTAAATTAATGTACCAGACGGACATTAAAAAAATTTAGGAAACTACCCTATCAAAGATAGTCGACGGTAAAGATAATAATTAAGTTTTATTAACTAAATTATGTTTCTCTACAGTCTAGTACAACCTGGGTATTAAAAGAAGTACAAGGTGTTGTTCTGTATAATGTTGTAATCACGAAAATATCAGGCGTTTCAATGAAACAAAATGCAAGTGTAAGTATCCGTTGGCGTTTAATAACTATTTCCTACATACCTACGTAGGTATGCATTATTTGTCAAGTACTGGTACTGGCCCTTGACTTTTGATGACGATAATGAGAATGGTGAATAATGATGATTAAAAGAACAAACTAATAAGTTATATCATATAGCAAAAAATCTAGTAAAGTAACCTTTACATTCATATTCGACAACACCAAGAGTACCCTGCAAGCTTTGTTTCGTACATTATTAACCATCTTCTAACAATAACAAACCTACCAAAAAAGAATTATCTAAATCGCATCGGTACGGCCACAGACATAATAAAGAATTTGTTTCTGGTCTGGAGATTTGCGCTTAGCAACATATTGCCATTGTGCGATTAATTTTAATGTTAATTTTATATACTTATTTATTTAAAATCTTAAATCTTTAAATTACATTTTTTTACTCTTTACTTAAAAAGGAAATAATATTTAAAAACGTAAAAATAGAAACCGTCCAGTAGCGGGAGCATGGTCCAAGATACCGGTGGTTAGGGCTCCAGATACAGAAACGTCCTCACGATACGTGTTGTTTCTAAGAGAACTGCCTCAGGCCTTTGATCTATCCGCCTACCGCCAGCCTCCTAAGATGGATATCGAGGGTTTTAGGGATAACCCATTGGCCGACACGACTATCGGCACAATGATAGACAAATCCAGGTTCCACATGTCGACAACCTCGTAAGCCAAATCAAGCTATTTTATTTGTTTATCTTTCTCAAATTTCACGACGTTCTCTTCATGAGGTATGGCGACATCGATTATTTATCATCGTGCAGCGCGCTAGTCGATCTACCACCACTATATCAGTTTTATTGACTACTTCGGTCAGTAATGATAGACTGGTCCCAGTACAATGTGATATGGCCATTTTCTAGCACTGGGTCGGGCGGCACATACTTGTAGGACGATACCTCAGACTCTCAGCCTCAACAATTTGGTAGTGCAAAGCAAGTTGCTGATGAATATCTGATTATGTCTGTGCAAGTATTCGCTATAAGCCAAATAACCACAACCGACATGCCCGACATGTGTGTCAACCGTCACATTCTTTATAATTTAAGTACTAGCTTATGCCCGCGACTTTGTACTCGCAATTCCTAACAAAACTAAAAAAAAGAATTGGATAAAAATATCCTATGTCCGTCTCCTGGTTCCATTCTAAGCTACTTCCCCACCAATTTTCATCCGAATGGATTTAGCCGTTTTTGAGTTATAACTAGTGTAAAGAGTTCCAACCTGTTGCTAAACTCGTTCGAAATCGGTGGGGATCTCTTGTTAATTAAACCACATACCATGTCTACTCATGTTTTCGATTGCAGCATTCGTCGGCAATATTGTCGCTAGAGGAACAAGTTTGTACATCACGTCTCTCTAAAGAATATTAAAATTTCATTTTCAACACCATAAAAATCTAACAGTTCTAGGCCCTCAGATTCCGCAATCTCTCCCCGGTGTAAACCTGCATGTAAATGCAGGACCGCACATTTGTCTTACTTCTCTACTCCAAACTCCATTCTGATGGAACTACTATATTTTTCAGCTATTTTTAGTAGTTCCGTCAGTTGTTTCTTGTTTGGAGCAAACAACTTGAAGTCATTCATGTAAAGCAAGTGGGATATTACTAGACCTCTTCTCCGCAAACGATAGTCTAACTATGATGTACCTATCTTCTAGTAGAGTGCTTAGAGGATTCAAGGCGAATTAAAACCATAGTGGGCAGAAACTGTCACTTGAAATTTGCCTCGCACTATCCTTACAAATTCTTCACCTACTTGACTTTGTCTACATCCCGGATAGCAAAGCACTACTACTCAACTGCCCCACATACATGACTGCAAGAAGGTGCGTAGAATTCATGTGGTACAGAACCTTTTTATAATAATTCTTATTAGGTTTTTTACCTGAACTTACATTTTTTTTTTTTCGATTTTTATTCTGTCTAAATAATTATTCTGTCGGAAGAGTCTTCCGAAGCAAAAATAATTTCTCCAAATCCAAGTCCGCGGGTTAGAACGGCGCATTTTAGCTTCTAGCCTATTTGGAAGGTACATAAAAGTTACAATCAAGGCTTGACTATTATAGTAGGTATTCTGTGGCTTCACAATGTTTGGATTAGGACCTGATTGTATGTTGTGATATAAAACAATACATCCACATACAAGACAGGCGTGATGAGATTTATTAGAGATATTATTGAATATTAGGAATAAAATAAGAATTTCGGTAACCTTGACCTTGAGAACTTGAAACTGCATAGTAAACTTTACTGACGATAGAGTCACCCCCTATAACAAGGGACTCACAGTGTAATTGCTGAAAAATAGATGTACATTGTGCATGCATTACCTGTATGCACTTTTGCTTAAATGTTTGTAATAAAATGCAACTTCTGCTAAACAGCATGACAATATAAATTAAATTACCTAGTACCCCTATACTTATTATACTCTTTGTTACCTAGCCATAGTCTCCCATAGACAATAATTATTACTGGCCACACTGCAATTTGTAGAAGTTCAATCCACAATTTCAAAACCTATAAAAGCTAATCACCCTATTTTATTACTCCTCACGTTACAAAATTATTATTTTCTATACTATACAAATACTATTTAATGAAAAGATATTTTTTTTGTGAATTTATCTGCTATTAAACAGCCTAAAGAAAATGGAATCGTATTTCTTCACGGATAGTAACGCAAAATAATTTATGAATTTAAAATATCTCCTAAAAAATCTACCCTTGATAATTAACGGATTCTGAGATTTAATGAAAATATTATAGTTGCACCGTATAGTAAATACTTTAATTTAATTATACATTTGTCTATGGTGTTCGAGTGTTTTTATGGCAATATTTTTCAACAGTTTTGTAAGCTGGCAATAACGGTATAGAGCGAATAACATGTCGATAAATATGACATATCGATAAACATCTTTTATTTTACTCAGTTTTGCACTTTGTAGTTCCTTATTAGAATTATACAAAATTTAATAAAAAATCCTTCATCGCATTATAAAATTAACTCTTCATTCTGTTCAAATTGATGAATTCACAATGAACTAGAACCATTTAAAGAAGCTATAATTTTCGTACGAAATGTTTATTTAAAAATTGTGTAATCCAAAACATCAATTTTTGGAGTGTCAATTAGAAACCTAGCAGGACTATAATTTTGTAACATCATACATTATATCTTTTGTTGATCATAAACAATAATAAACTTACGCTTTTAAAATTGTCTTTATTTCACATTGTCATATTTCAGTAACTTTTTTACAATACTTTAGTGTAAATTTTTTATCTATTATCTTTTCATAATCTATTTGTAGTGTCTCTTTGTAATATTGAAGTAACAGCTTTTTACTAGGTACATACATATGAATATATTTAAGATACATATATCAAACTTATAATTTTTAAATTTATGTGGTTTCGTCTATATGTACTGACTAATTTCTGAAATAGCTAGATCGAACTTAACCTGACTTTTACTGGCAGCTACTAATCTGATAGCTGATCTAGGTACTAAGGAGTAACATAGGCTACTTTTATTTTGGAAAATTAAAACAAAATAGTTAGGTCCTAAATAAAATTCATATTCTACGCGGATGAAGTCGCGTGCAACCTCTAGTGTAACTTGAAACCTTAACATCGACATTATCGATAAAATTATATTTTCTCAACTCTAACCCCACTTCACAGATAGTCAATTGTAACGACGACTAAGACCGGTGAACATCGAGGAGAGGTCGTGGAGGAATTTACCATCTAGCCACCATCGCCGTTCGCCAATTACACCATGGCTGATACCGAAAAGGCGCCGCAGCCGCAGCCCCAACAGCAGCAGCAACAAGAGCAACAACCCCCACAGCAACCGCAACAAGCTAAAGCGGCTAAACAAAAGCAGGTCATTGGTAAGTGTCGCTACGCCATCTTAGTTTTTGCGTGCCCCGGCATCAAATTCACCAAAAGCACATGTTCTATAAATTGTTGAATCTTATATATTTTTGGATATTATCTATGCAATATGCTTAAATATGAAACTGGAGCGCTAAAAATAAACATTTTTGGGAGGATTTTCATTAAACGTAAATAGACATTCTAGTCGGCGGCGTTATTGATCGTGTGTTGACCCCGCTAGAACGGTATACCTACCTATCTGAGTTACGACCAACGAATCAATAATATCGCCTTCGCCACGGAATGGAGGGCGGCGTGGCGTCCTGGACCGGGCCGGAGCCATTTTGTATGAAATTAATGTTTCAACCACGCTTTTTGTGTCTGATTGTAGTTCTGTGTAAATGATGCTTTGCTCTAGTCTTATTTTTTTCATTTATGTAATTTAGTTGCGAATGTACGTTCAGATGAAGAAATGTACTTCATCAAATCACCTCAGGAAGTAGGATGGTTAATACAATCACAGGCTATTGTACATTTTATAGTGGGTATTTTTGAAGGGGAATACTTATTCGGACGTGTGTGTGTGTCTAAATGATGCTTCCTTGTTGCGTTGCGTCCAACGCTGCACAGCGCAAAGCGCATGTTTGTTCTTGTACCTACATATATACCTACCCAACAATACAAATTATCACTTGCATTTGAGTATACTCCAATAAAATAGCTTGAATTACTTATGAATAGAGTTGCTCAATAATTTGTAATTAGGTACATTAAATATGGATAACTCTGACAACTTATTCCCACTTAAAAATCTGTAAGTTTCTAATCAGAATTTATTGATGTTAGTCAATTAGACACAATTTTTAAACTATTGGCACTTCAAGTTAGTTGAATTTGTACATTATTTTTGTATCAGGGACATTTGATGCTTTGGGATGATTATACCCAAGCAAAGCCAGCGAAGTTTGGTTTAGTCTGATGTATAATAAAATAAATTCAATAAAATTTTAGAAGTATTTTTGTGATCAATATTTTCTATTTTTGACCTACCCACAACACTCGCTGAAAGTTAAGAAGTCGTTGCCCCCGTAGCCGTAGTCTTAAACAAAACTATTTAAGAAAACTTAGGTAGGTGTATCTAGTATCAGTAGATAATATTTCGTTATGGACTTATGGCACAGTGGATACCAGCTGAAATGAAACCTCATTTTTGGGAAGTGTATTATATTGGTGCCTGATATTACCCCGATACGCCTTATCAATTGATTTACAAAGCGGAGAGCATATGCACCTACAGAGTACATAGCATTTACACCTATTAGTCTCTTTACAACAAGAAACAGTTGTAAAAATCACATTATTTCTTGAAATGAACGGTGGTTTTTTTTTTCAGCTGAGAAAGTTTCGGGAACCGTCAAATGGTTTAATGTCAAGAGTGGATATGGTTTCATCAACAGGTTTGTGTAAATCCTAATTAAAACTTTGACATTAGAAAAATATGTAACTTTGCATGTTTTCTGAAATTGGAACAATATTTTTCTGTTAGGAATGACACCAAGGAGGATGTGTTTGTGCATCAAACTGCAATCGCCCGGAACAACCCTCGCAAGGCTGTGCGCTCGGTCGGCGACGGGGAGGCGGTGGAGTTTGCCGTGGTTGCCGGGGAGAAAGGCTATGAAGCAGCCGGAGTAACTGGTCCCGGCGGTGAGCCGGTAAAGGGCTCGCCCTACGCAGCTGACAAACGCCGCGGCTTCCATCGCCAGTAAGTGATCTCAATGATTATTAATTGGCACATCTACTTCAAAGAGTTTGTTTTTATGTAAAGAAAATTTTCAGATATTACCCCCGTCAAGGTGGCGGACGTGGCGGGGAAGGCGCTCCACGTAGAGGTGGAATGGGACGTCGTGGGCCCCCGACCAACCAGGGGGGTGCACAGGGGGATGAAGGTCAGGAGGGAGGCGGAGCACCACCACAGCGCAGGTTAGTGGCAGAACAGACAATGTAGTCCATGAGTAAATTTATAACAAAATGTAGGAGTTAACTTGACATATTGTGATTTATTAAAATTAAGTAATTTCACAGCTACTTCCGCCGCAATTTCCGTGGTGGACGTCGTGGTGGCGGTCCAGGGCCCATGAATCGCGGAGGATACCGTCGCGCTCGTCCACGCAATTTCCAACCGGGCCAAGGACAGGGCCAGCCCCAAGCCGGTGGACAGCCTAACCAAGCACCACGTCAAAATGGTCAGGAGGCAGAGGCCCCTGCCACCGCTGCGTCGCCAACGCAACAGCAACAGGCTAAGCCGAAATCTACCACCAAGCCTGCTGGTACTACCATTGAGACCACTACCAATGAGAGCCAGGCCTAAACACCCGGCAGCTGCACAGTGTGGCACACCCCTTAGTAGTGCATATTAATTCTAGCTGTGCCACATATCCAACACAACTTTGTCTTGTCTGTACAACTGAAGAGTGTTTTGTTTTATTGTTGTTGCAGAAGCTATTTACAACTTAAGAAAGTCTGCACTTTTGTCATCTTCATTGATTGATATGTAATGTTAGGGGAGGATTTAAACGGAACTGCATAGTATCATAGATCAAAAATGTGATATTTTGATTATTCTAAATAATGTATTGTTTTGAGTTTTATTGGTTGTTCCTACAAAATGATTGTGAATTGTATTTTTTAACTAATAACTTATACAAGTTTTGGATATCCAAGATTTTAATTGTGCAATTTATGGTTTTAAAGAAACTGCCTTCTTGGCCGAGTGGTCGTAAGTGCGACTGCCGGACAAGGGGTCTCGGGTTCGATTCCCGGGTCGGGCAAAGTATTACTGGGTTTTTTAAATATTCTCAGTAGTAGCACGGAGTCTGGAAGTGTGCCCGGTATATGGCAATAGGCTCACCCCCTATTACATGGGACTCATAACATAAATAGTGAAAAGTGGGTGTTACATTGTACAGTGGTATAATGTGCACCTCTGCCTACCCCTTCGGGGATAAAAAGGCGTGATGTTATGTTATGTTATGTTATGTTAAAGAAATTAAAGAATATGCAGGTTCCTACGCCCCAATTAATTTGTGTATTTTAAAAGAATGAAGATTATTTTACTATAAATTTATATGAATGTATGTTTTAACTATTATTTGTAATAAAATTTTTAGTAAGTACTGTGAACAACACTCTCAGAAATAAAAACTTCTTTTTACCAGTGTGAATATGTTTTTGCTTGTTTATAATCCCCATCCTCATAGATCCCATAAATCCTATGTAATAAAATGTGTTGCACAGAAGATTGATTCAACATTAACCATAGTCTCAAAATATACCAGTAGTTTCAGATTCTACATTGGGAACTCGTGAACTAAATGATAGTACTATATCTAGATATACCTACTAATGAAAATGCATATTCCTGACTGACTGATTTATCATGTTTCATTGTTTGATCGTTTTTTAAACTGTGTGTGGCTGGGCTGGACCCATTTTTGACAATGAAATAATAAATGTCCGGCTAGAGCAGACTGACTTGGACAATTTTGTAACGCAATACTTTCCCGTTGGGTAACCCAACTGTTCTTATGTACCCTGACGAATGGCGAGTACCTGAGAATAGGAGTGAGGTCACAGTTGGAAAAATTATGTTAAATAAATTAAGTATGGGCGTTAAAAATAGGTACCTAAGCTGTTCAATAATGCTTCTTCAAAATGCGCGAAATCCTTCGTCTCTTTACTCTAATCCCTGTTTATCCGTTATCCTGGTTGGTATGTACATACGTAGACGTACCTACTTAACTAATACTGACGACCTATAACAGTCAAGGTTTTTAGACTATAGAATCTGAGCTGCTGCCTGCTCTACTTCGGAATAAATAGAACGTCAATGTGCTTTAATAAATGAGAATTATTGATTTATAACTTGCCTTGAATACCAAGGTACCTTAATGAAGTATCTACCTAATGACTTACTAGATAGTCAAGTAGATACTTCGCGTTCAATAAAATCAATACCTTCTGACCTAATGTACGTATATTTCTCCTAGTGTTAGAAGCTACTGACCTAGTTTATTTTCTAAGTTTGTTTGGGGTGGGACAGAGAAGCTTTCAGTACACAGCGAAATCGTAAAGACAGATTAGGTATCTACACAGCTTCACAGCTTAGTATTTCCTTATGAACCGTCTCAAACGGACGTACAAATGGGTAAAAACTACAAATTATTGTAATTTCGTCTTGTTTTGCTACTGGTAACGATCCGCTTCCTAACATTTCCACATTTTGCACTGTTAGGCTGAAAGACATTCCTAAGCAAGTAAGTACTGTACTGGAACATGAGAAGTTTCTAGAACATTGATTCACATTGCAATAGGCCTGGTTGATTCAATTCAAGGCAATAACAAAGTGCATCCAATTGAATAAATTGTTCCATTCACTGACGACGGGATGACACCAATTTGTGTTCTATTTAAAGGTTGAGATGTTCGGCACTATTGCAATGCTACCACCGTTCCAGGCTACCAGCATTAAATTGTATTTTGATACTAATCTAAAATTTTTGTTAATTTTCGGATGCCATAGGGTATTTGGAAAGCAGTTTGGTGCCAACCTAGACATTGACATATTCTATTGTTCAAGATATTGTTGATGAATTAGGTATGTACCTACCTATTTCATAATGTTGGTATTGGTACCTACCTACAAAAGTTACATAATATTAAGAAATTAGATTTTTACCATTTTACTGCCTATTTTCAATCTGTTGGATTTTCTCACTTTCTTACCGAATAATTTTTTGTCTATCCATGGTACATGGTCATCATATGTAAGTAGGTTATAATTATAAATAATGTCTACCTTTGGTAACAGATATGTCTGCCATATTTACCCACCTATATAAGTATGTATGTACCTACTTATCTGTAATTACGCGTTTGTTACTCAATCACGTCAAAAGGTTGAACTAAAGGGATTGGGATGTTTGCAACAGGGGTAGATTATGGGCTGGAATAACCCACTGGCTTTTAATTATCCCACGGGAACGGGGACGAAACCGCGTCCAATTTCAGAAGCTAGTAAAAAATATAGGTACCTACTACTGACTGTACCTACTGTTCCCACAGTTGCTAGGTGACTGGCTAAACTGCAACGTACCGTGGATTCAGTCCCCGTATTGATCAATATCAATATCATCAAATCAACAGCCAACTGCTGAACAAAGACCTTGCCTTCTTGTCATACAGAGAAAGTTAGCATTTATCACCACGGTGGCTAAGGCGGGTTGGCGATCAAACCTATAATAAAATTTGACATTATATGACCTCTTCAAATGACTTCCTCTTCTTCTTCAAAAATTTTATTTGTCTAAATAAATTTTAGAAAGTAGGTAGATTGATAATTATTAGTACCGATTTGACTCGGAAAAATCACATTAATAGGTGCTTGCCGCTGGGTTCGAATCCGCATCCTTATCATTTTCACTCAAGACACAGTGCTGAGCAAAATGTTATGGATAGATAGATTTCATGTTAAATGACCACTTTTATTATTTGTTTCCCATGCTTCGGAAAGCACGTTGCATCCTGCTTGCAGATGACTTCGTTCCGCTCATGATGAACTGCCCATCTGTCTGAAAGAGGTAACAAAGGTAGGTAAGTCAGGGATTAGACCTGCGTCACATTCTTGTATAAATGTACCCATAATATCGTCTGCGTAATGGGCTAGTCTACGTAGAAAATTTGCCACCGTCATAGCAATCGATAGAGATATTATATCGAGGGGTAACGGGCTATTTGGTTTAAGCGACATTTTGGGCGATATTGAGTTATATATATATTCGGAATCAGCGAATTTTTCTCCGTCGAATGCTGTCGGTTTCATTAAAATCGGAGCACTTTTTTGGCGTTTCAAACAATTCTATTTTCATGTTGTTTCCAAAGTGGCAGTGTATTAAACGACATGGATTTCGCATTTTTTATTAAATTATGTACTTAAACCATACCATCATATTAATAACCGAGACATAAACCAGTCACCCTATCTCTAATTATTAAGTCAACATGAGTTAAAGCGTTTTTCTTGTTTCTAATTTTTATTAACAAGTAACTTGAATCATTTTGACCTCCCACTAATCACACGGTGTGATGTCGCTTAAAACATTTGTCCGTCATCCAAATGCGTCATGGTACGTCTCTTAAACATTTCTAGCTGCCTCTATTTTCTACGCAGGGTGCTACTTAAACCAAATAGTTGTTTTCGTTTAGATATTTTGTTTAGTCATAAACCATTTTTTTTTAAATGCATGTCGTTTTATACAGACGATAACATTGATAATGAATATTGAAACATTTTTCCAGTATTCATAGAAATACGAGTCGGTGTTTCAATCAGTAAGTTTTAATTTGGTACATTTCAATCATGTCATATGATACCATATTTATTTCATCGCCCTGGTGTTAAAAATCGTTATCATCCAACTGGACTATCGTGCGCTGGCGCTTCAGTCACTCCAGAGTGCGCCGAAGACGGACGGGACGCGCGCACACCGCCAGTGTTTACGTAAAACGCTCATCGAAATTGAATCCTAAGGATTCAATTTCGATGAGCGTTTTACGTTAATTTCAAGATGAACTTTGGCAACAATGACAATTTAAGGGCTATTGTGGAGGTTGATGACATACAATCTACGGCTGATTTAGCAACAGCTTTCGACGTTAGCGTCAAAACAATATTGGTACATTTGCGTCAAATTGGCAAGGTAAAAAAGCTTGATAAGTGGGTGGTCCCACAAACTAAATGATCAACAGAGCTAAGTATGCATCGAGCAGTGCGAGGGGGACTGGGATGCCGTCTCCTCCTTTTGCGAAGCAGTTATGCTAGCTAAGGAGGAGGCGGGACGCGTGAGGCAGCGAAGCGCTGGTTCCTCGCAACCCAGCCATCGCGAAGGACACACCTGGCGTCGGGGATCGCGGGACGATCTCCAGTTACCGTAAGCGCGGGCCTGCGGACGGTGAGCATGGGTCCCCGTCCGACCAGAAACAGACCCGAGCGTATGGGGCGTCGCGTTCCGCGCGCGCCTCAAAGAGCCATCAGACCACCACAGATGCCGATTCGGAGTCGCGGAGAACCTAACGGGTAACCGGGGCTCCGGCTCGACGTGCAGGAGAAGAAACGGGGTGATTTTTAGTCAGTAAGAGTCTGACACTCTTTCCCGCCTCACCCAGGCGGGAGCAGTCATTCGATGATTTTCCACCCTTAAAAAAAATGCATCGAGTAGTGCCTTGCACTGCACTGCTCAATATACACACAAATGAAAGAATTTTGATTTTCATTGTCACCTCCGATGAAAAATGAAATCTGTGTGATAACCA